TTGCGTATTTTACATTCAATAAAAAAAGTTCTAACCGTGTTGGGTTATTATACTATAAGTAGTAGCATTTTATAGTAGCATTTTATAGTAGCATTTTTTTCGTATATCTATAAAGAATCTTATAAAATTAATTTCTTCAATTCAATTCTATTATTTCGTGGCTTTTTCTGATCATTTGCTTAATAATATTATTTAGTGTTGCTATTATTATAATATATGTATAACCTTAAAGAAAATTAAAAATATTAACTATTAGCAATATTAAGCAATATTACTGTTTTATGTGAAATTAAAAATAGTTTAGATCGCTATTATTTAAATAAATTAAATTAAATTAATTTAATTATTTCTTAATTAATTAAATTAATTAAGCAACATTATTGCTAAAAATTGTAAGGTATTTTGGTGCCATTTTTGAATTTTCGAAATGATATTATAAAATTCTGTGTAAGGACTGTCTGTAACAAGTACATATATAATACTTTTGAGACGTCAAACCTTGGTCTCTCCCGTGATCATGATTGCTGTAAAGCATACCAAACGTCGGAAACCAAAAATCATAATAACTCCGCGAATTAATCCGAAAAGATAGTTTTATTTAAAATGTCAAAAAATCTAATTAAAATTTTGTAGCTTAAAACATAATCTAAAATTATATTATTTAAATAGGTATAGGGCAGATTATTAAATATTCTCTCCCCCAACGTGCGTACACCATGTCGTGGTGGGGGGGCTCAGTAGTGCCCGGCAATCCAACCGGGCGCGAAGCTAAGAAACGCACAGGGAGGTTGCCCACTTCGGTGGGCGGTGGGAGGTGGCCCTCTTCGGGGGGCGGTGTACCTTGCGGGTTGCTCCTGGTACTTTTCTGATAGCAGAGTGGACCTTAGAGCAACCCCATGGTTGTGGAGGTCTGCTTTGGCAGACCTGCCGTCGGGGCGTCGTAGTTGAATGCGTAAGTAATCCTGCGACGCCCCATTAAGATGGGGGAAGGTTTTGTTGGGTTTTAGTGGATAGTACTGGCTGTATTACGCCGGTGAGTCCCACACGTCGTGCGTAAATGCATTTCCCAACGTTAAAAAAAAAAGGTTATTACATATTCTATAGTAACTGCTGCACTGCTTGTACACACATACATAAGTTATTACATACAGTATTTTTTTATATAGATAGGTGAATTCTATTAATACATGTTGTTCTCCGATTTTTAATAATAATTATGGTTGAATTTCAACCACTAGAACAACACTAGTTAAAATAAAAGCTTCTGTTAAAACTTATTCGGATATTAAGTATTAAAACAAGCTTAAAGTTTTTAAGTGTACTTGACTCTATTACATCAGAAGCAGAAATTAAAAAAAATCTATTTAAAACATAAAGCTCGTTAAAAATTCATTATCTAAATATAATATAATATAGATACCTACATTACTTATTATATTTAAACATACGATAAACGTCATCTGTTTATATACATTCATGCTTACTTATCATTATTATTTCGATATTTTCATCTTCATCACCAAAAAGTAAAAACAAATCTAAGACAATTATTAATTTTTTTCTTTTTATAAATTCAAGAAAGTGGAATTTCGTGTATCAAACGCCTAATTTTTAGGGTTCGGAGTTTCCAAATAAAATCACTTAATAACACACCGACTATTTATCTTATTAAAATTACAGAAAAAACGACATATCATCATCCCACCGTTATCATAAATCATAATTTTTTATTCATCTTTGATTCCATTCTATTTTGAAAACCATATCTAAAAATATCATTTCACGCATACTTATAATCTCGCAAATCTCACAAATCTTACACTCGGCCATCGTATATGTTATGCATATATTCTTCAATTTTAAATATACTTTCAAGAAGCAAGAATATAAAAAAATAAAATTCCTTCCCCCGAGGGTTTCTTCCTTTAAAAGTGGTCGTTCGTATATCTATGTAAAAAGCATTATTCAAAGTCACGTCGGCAATAAGGAGAGAATCTTTGACCTACCATCCATAAGTAGATATATAAGTAGAGTAAATAAGGTCAAGTTTCGTTTCGAGATATGAATGAGAACTAATTGGTCTAGACAGAGGCAATTATTATATATAAAGATTCCGGAATCTGGTGCATATGAATCAGATAATGAATGAATACACCTACACATACATTCATTCATTCATTTACGTTCCATTCCTTTAGGATACCTCAGGAAAAACTAGCATCATTTATTTTAACTAGATTCAGTAACAATATATTAGGAAACACTTATTATCAACAATTTCTTATTTATTTGCTCCAGTTAAAAATCACGGATAGTCATCCACCCACGTCAACTCCCGCCGACCAACCCGCTTTTTTTGTTTATTTATTCGTTCCATTTTTTCGGATCAACATATAGGATACTTTTTATTGCGGGAAAATATATCATCTCTGAAAAATCTATAATACGAGTACTATCCGTTAAAACGTACCAAGATACGAATCCGAGCGGAGCAAGGGTGAGTCGCTAGTAATATATAAAAGATAAGAATCATTGGTCATGAGCATGTTGGTGTAACATCATGAAAAATGAAAGATCACTAAGCCTTTGTTGTAAATGCGGGGGTGGGTTCAACCTTAAAGTTCAACGCTTCTTTTCAATGACTTGCCTATAAGGATATCATCAGGTTCGCCTAAAAATATAAAAAAATAAAAATAATAATCATTACATACTTTTGATACAGTATATACAAAGATTGTAAATTTAAAGATTGTAGGTATTCTTAAATAATTTGTAGAGGATATATGTAGATAACGCTTCACAAGTTGAGTCTACATAATATAATAATTATATTCCTAGCGACTCATTAAATTGACATAACTTTCTAAAATTAGTGTTAAGTGAAGTTTACCGCCGCACCCAAATCTTGAGGACTTTATATTATGAAATTAAAGAAATTACGTAATTGTGCCGTTGACGTGTTGAGTGCTGTGGGTGTAAATACTCAGACAAATAGAATTACTACAATTTTTTAAATCATTTTATTAAGTTCTTATTGATTCTAAAATATTACATACTAGTGTTCGCCTAGTAATCGATCGCATTTTTTTAAATTCATAACACTCAAGCTCGGCAAGAGCTCCTGCATGAAAAAAAAATCGGTTGACAAATAGAGGAGAAAAAGGTACTGAACTTTAAATAAAACTGTCTTTTTAAATAAAACTATCTTTTCGAATTTTTTCGCGAATTTATTTTGATTTTTGGTTCCCGACGTTTCGAATGTTTTACAGCAATCATGGTCGCGGAAGAGACTGAGGTGTTTGATGTCTCGAAGGTATTATATAGTTGTTACAGACAGCCTACCCACAAATAACAAAATGAATTCAAAAAATTGAAAAATGGCACCAAAGTACCTTACAATATTTTTTTACTTTAAATATTTTTATAATTTTAATTAGTTTTATAATTGAATATGGACACAGATCATATAATACTATACTTGGAATATTATTTATTTAATTTGAGCTGTTATTATTATAATTATTACAATTTTAAAAATATTAATTAGTTATTTATATTTACTTTTGCCATTATTATATTTATAACCATAAAGAAAAATAATAAAATATTAATTATTTAAGCCACACAATTGATCTATGTGTAATTTGAAAAAGTTAAAATGAATTAAAAAATAATAATTTTAATTTAATTTGCTATTACTATATACATTTACAAATGAAAAAATGAAAAACATTAATTTGAAATGCTGTCATTTTGATCCACATAGTAAGAATTTACTACATCTACCTATCTGTTACGTTTAGATTTATTCGTCGGAAACCAAAAATCAAAATAAATTCACGAAAAAATCCGAAAAGATAGTTTTATTTAAAATGTCAAGTATTCGTGTAAATCTAAGAAAGTATTAGGTACTGAACTGTTCTTCCAAAAATCATATTTAAAAAATATGAATATCATAATCCTTTTAGTTTGATTATATACAATGGTAACTTTCTGTAGCACAATTAGCTAGCGATGTCAGTATTTCAATGGAGATAGAGGAGATAGTAACAAAATATTAAAAGTGTTACGCAACAGTGACCAGGTCACTTGGAAAGATGTAAACATGGTCCGATATTTGTATATTTATATAAAGTGCTATGGATAATTAATATTTTATATCTGTAGGTACCTTAGATCTTTAAACATTACGGTGAAAATAAACGGTATGGTGGCTAGTGTTTATTATGATTTGTTTCTATAAATTTTTCTCTTTTAACTGCCTCGTTTGTCGGCTAGCATGTACGACTACAGATTCGGACGTTCGGGAATTGAGTAGTGTAGTTATTGGGTATGGAAACTCCCAGTGATTTTGCGGGATAGCTTGCGGTATTTCACCTCCGTGCCTTGGAAAGTACGTAAAGCCCTTGATCTTGTGTCTGATCTCTTACTGGGCATAGATATATAGAGATATGCAACTCTTTTTTTTCTTTAACTTTGGGAAATGCATTAACGCATACCACCTGCATGCATACAGGTGGTTACGTGGGACTTACCGGCAAAGCCAGTACTACCCACTAAAAGCCAACAGAACCTCCCCCGTCGCGGAGTCACAAGATCGCTTACTCACTTCACTACGACGCCCCAACTGCAGGCGTGCTGAAGCAGATCACAACAATCATGGGGTTGCTCTAACGGTTCACTCCGCCGTCAGGGAAGTACCAGGAGCAAACCACATGGTACACCGCCCACCGAAATGGGCCACCTTCTAGTCCTTTCTTGGCTTTGCGCCCGGCTGGATTGCCGGACGCTAGACATGCAACTCTGGTGGAACCCATGAAATAGTGGTTAAGATAAGAACAATACTGAATTGACAGATCAGTTATTTATATTATAAGAAAATACTTAATAATATACGCAATATTTGACATTTTAAATAAAACTTTCTTTTCGGATTTTTGATAAAAATTATCAATGAAATAATTTTATTAGAGTTAACATAATTTATTTTTTCACTCCAGTGGACGACCAGCCAGATGCTGAAGCGGGAGTTTCCTACACAGACACGATGGAAAGCAAAAACGGCAACTCTAAGATACTTAAGCGACTAGAAACCGTGCCAGATATAAAGCGAGACACGTCCGGAATAACAACCCAGTACATCGCTGCTGGTATAGGTTAGTGTATGAAATTGCTCAAAAATTCGTGTTATAAAGGAGCTAAAATGATGATAAAGTTAAATTTAGTGTGCTTTTATTTGCTTTGTCGAGCTGCTTCTATTGGAACCATGTCGTATGTATCATATTATGCCTATTCAATCATTTCTTCACGGAGTGATATAATCAATGTGGTTATAAAGTTTTGTGTTTATTTTTGCCAATTGAAAATAGATTTTCATGTTTTTTTTAAATAAATAGACTATAAATATATATATATATATATATATATATATATATATATATATATATATATATATATATATAAGGAAAAATATTTTTAAAATCCCTTTCAAGCTGATATATATTTTTTCGTGAATAGAAGCATTATTATCCACTCATCCTTTTTTTAACGTTAGGGAATTCATTGAAACATACCATCTGAATACAAGCGGTTGTGTGGAGACTTACCACCTAGAAAAGCCAGATCTGCCTACTAAAACCTAGAGGAACCTTTCCCGTCTTAATGAGGTGTCACAAAGAAGTTACAGGAGTAATTCACCACCTCCCAGTGCGTTGCTTAGCTTCATGCCCATCTGGCTTGCTGAAAAATACTGAGTCCCTTTCCCAACACGACAATGTGAATCGACACAAACATTCACAAGGGGAATCAAGCCATAATTCACCACGATAGTCAAATCCAGACTTTTCATGTCGGTTGAATTGCTTAGATTCTTTTGACTGTTGTTCCATTATGTTTTCCTTCACCGTATTAGAAAGTTATAATCATAATATGTATACGAATATGTATTCAGAGGAACAAAATATAAATGATCACCGTTTACTCTTCTTTAGTTTACCTTTCATAATCTATGGTACTATGTTTCCGTTCTACCGCTTTTTTATATTTTTGGTGCAAGCTATACCTATATTAACAAATCGTAAACGATTAAATAGATATTATTGTTGGATAGTATACTTTTATATCTAATCACTAATTACTGATAGAATTAACCTTTATTGATAACAACATAAAGTCAAGTAACTACGTTACTTATATCACAGCTATGGCACTTCGCGAATGAAACTTTGTACCTTGACGTGAAAAATACCTATTTATGTAATAACAATATAGTACCTTCATAATTATAAAGCAGTCGGAAAACACGTGATTTTGATTTGATGTTCATTGAAAATAGCGCACAGTCTAAAACATAAGTCTTTTCTTTCTTGCTTTCAATTTTCTACCTGTCAATAAATAATGCTTTTTTGGTCTAGTAAATAGCATGTTTGAATGCAGACCTTGAGGTTTGAGTCCCGAGTTGGACAAAAGTAGTTCGTCTATTTTTTTTTTGTTTTCACTTGCATTCTACATTTTGCAAGTCGTTAGGGCTTATCCCATGCATTGGAGAGCGTATTTTTATACTGAATGAAAAAAGTTTTTAAAAGGTCTTATTTTAGTATTTTAAATTACTTTAAAAGTACTATTTTCTTAGATTTACGAGAAAATATGTCATTTTAAATAAAAACCCGAAACGATATTTAGATAGTATTAAAAAGTAATCATGACACCCTCATGGATGATTTTTTTTATATTACAAGGGATCACTCTTCAGATATAGCCTATTCATTGAAATAAGTATTATGAAAATCAGTTGCAGTCCAAATGCGAAGGTATTATGATGAAGATGGAATATTATTGTTCTGTTTTTATTTTTAAATGAAAAAATATTTCTAATGAGCTATCAAAAATAATAAAGTTACATATTAAGTGAATCGAAAAGATCTTTCTTAAACACACCTAGTCCAGTGTAGTAATATTTACATTAACAATTTCAGTAAACCTAGGAGCATTCGCTGCTGGAGTATCTGTGGCGTGGTCATCATCAGCTCTGCCTTTATTCACTTCACCACAAGATGAGGTATGAAGATTTTTTTAACTAGTAATATAGATGAGGAGTTTTTATATCCTGGTTCACATCTATACAGATGAATAAAATTGAAGTGTCTTTTTGTTTTATCAAAATAATAGCTTTTTACTAAATGAAATTGTACCTATATGGTACTTATAAGAAAAACACAATTTTTAAAAAAATGTCTGTTTGTCTGTTTGTTCCGGCTAATCTCCAAAACGGCTGACCTGATTTTGAAGGGACTTTCACTGAAAGATAGCTGATGTTATAAGGAGTAACTTAGGCTATCTTTTATTTTAGAAAAAGAATTAGGGTTTCGCTCAAAAAAATTATAACGTACCTAGGGGTACACCAGAGCATAGCGAGGGCGTATAGTATTATGTGATCTGTGGCGAGGGTAAGTTGCTAGTTAGTTTTATAGAACAATAATATCGCACTCTCACAAGCATACGTAAGTATTGTGGCCAAATGGCTTATATACTTTAAGGTAAGCTAAGCTTATATATGTATAAGTCTTTAAACTTTCATTACTAATAATGTTTTAATGATGTTAAACGGTATATCTAAAAGTAATTATATTAAACATTGAGACTCGAATCGAATCATAAGCGAGTAACGAACTAGTGACTATAGTAGTAGTAACGGACTTACAAAACAAACTAGAAAGAGGGTAGATAGACAGAGATATATCTGCCAATAAACAAAAACGTCCACCCGTAGAAACTTTAGCGTCGCCAGTGATCATAAAAATAAGTGAAAAACATGGCACGAGTAAATATCATGTTTTACGTAATAAAAATAAGCTTATATAATTTAAAAGACTTTGAACAGATTTTTGAACTGGAAGTACCTACAGACTTAGCTGTGAACTAAATAAAAGCTTGCAAAAATAAACACCACTTTGTTTGATGTTACCCGCAATGAAAATGTTTTTATACTTGATTTACTTAAGAAAGCTTCTAAAGAAGTAATTCATTTTAAGAATATCAGTCCTGTCTTCCTCTCCAGCCTTTACTTTAACTAAACAAACATATAATACTTTCTTAGATTTACGCGAATGTTTGACATTTTTAAATAAAAATATCTAAACTATCCATGGTCACGGGAGAGACCATGGGTGCTGTAAAGCATTCGAAACGTCGGGAACCAAAAATCAAAATAAATCCGCGAAATAATCCGGAAAGATAGTTTTATTTAAAAATAAACAAACATACATACACATATACAAACATTCGTAATAATATTAGTTCAATATACACATTTAAATGGTTGCCAATTTGATAACATAATTAAAAATATTTCTGTATAAACTTTAATTTGAAAGAATTCTGGGTGCTAAAAGTAATGTTTTCCTAGCTCGCCCAATAAATACAGGTCCGCGGGGAAGCTTTTGGGACTGCTGTAGACGGACGGGTTGATAACGGTTAATATAGTTGTTTTTAAAAATATATTTAAAAACTAGCTTTCTGCTGCGGCTTCGTTCGCATAGTCTGTCGATGAAAAATATGATGATCTCGCTAAGACTAGCCAATTACGAAGGAGATATTACAGTGCACAAGTGTACGCTCAAACACAAGTGCACACTCTATTCTTGTGACTCTCATACTCCGGTGGAACGACTACTAGACACGACCAGTGATAAGCAGCAGGGATAAGGTGCAGGACCGACGTCTTTACGTGCAAGTCTGAAACGTACCTGCATGTCTGAAAGAATCTAAAAAGATTTCGAAAGACACATGAAGTCCGCCAATCCGTACTTGGCCAGCGTGGATTGATCGGATTATGGAGCGTGGATTGATTGTATTATGGTTTGATCCCCCTCGTATTAATGGAAGGCCCATGCCCAGCAGTGGGACGTTCAAAAGAGCTGTATACATACATATAAAGCATGGCTAGTATAATATCATATTTTAATAATATATACATTCATAGATAATAATTATTATTTGGTGTTCGCCTCGCGTTGGCTGGTACTAACTCTAATGCTTATTGAGACACCATTTTTAGTGTAGGTGTGATAATAGGATATAAAAGTTATTTTGATATATTTATTGAAGCAATTTGAGTAAGTTGGAGCCAATTATAATAACTAAAATGATATTTATAAGCTGTCTCTTGCCTGCACACTGAGTCCATATAGCATTAAAAATATAATGAAAGCATTAATATATATTTTTTTGATTTTAAGAAAACGGTATACTCTATTTATTTAAAAAAATATATTTAGAACTACCTAGATACCTATCTATCTTAATAATGGAATCTAACATAAAATGGATACTAACCTAATCGTACAAACCATTATATTATCGATATATCATTGAACATACAAAAAAAAAGTATATTTAAAATGTAGTTACTCTGTTTCTTTTTTCTACACTATATATCCCTTTTTACCAAAAAAAACAAAAAATATTTTTTACTTATTTCCTTTCTTTATTACTACTGTGCTTGAATTAAATTTTTGACTACTAAATTATGTATAGAAGTAAATTTTCGCCTTTAAAAACCGCTCGTGTAAGACAGTAGTAAACTAGTAACCCCAGAATTCCCAAGACAAAGATTACTTAAGAAGTTGATGAATCTTAAGTAAGGCGTATACTTAAGCCTTCGAACTTGCCCAAATTGAATTAGGATAGAACTATGTGAAAGTTTACCGCTTTTAGGTTTGTTTCGCAAAAATTCTGTACATGGTTGTTAGTTGAATCTTCATTGTAGGTATATTTGTTTCTTAGCCTTTTCTAACATCTTATTAGATACAGAACACCCTCGAGGGTTGATGGAATTTACATGTATTTCTAACACATAGGTTTTATCAAATGTACAGGTTCTTCCGTTCAAGTTTCCGGTATCGTTTGCTTCACCGTAAGGCAAAAATCATGTAAATGTTTTGCACTTTTTAAAACCAACCATTAAAATCAGAGGTGCAAAACCCGAGGCTTGAACCCGCTTTACTTGGTTTTACAAGCGAGCGTAATACCACTGGGATACCATTGCCTTTTATAGATATAGCTCAATTCTATCACGATAACCTGTTGCTCCGATACTGCGTGAGAAGAACAAATATATTACTTACAAATATCAGTTTAATCTTTTTTATAAATAAAAATGAAGTTCTGTTCTTTGCTAAGAATCTTGATACAAGGTCAAGTAATTTTGCTAATTTCTTTTGTAAATGTCCACGTTGAGTTGAAATAGCGTTATGAAGAAATAAGTAGAAAAGTTGGCTGGAAAATCAGGAGATTTCGGAAAAAACTGAAAGTGCTTTTTTTATTGTATTTTTGGAGCAACTCAAAGATTACAAACTTGTTGTTTGGAAAGGACGTTCATCGGCTTGTATAAAATAAAATTGTTTAAACATTTTAGTTCATTATAAAGTTAGACATAACAGAATAAGGGTTTCTTTGGACCCTGCTGTTTGTATGTACGTATTCAGCCCTCTATAACGTTCACCACGCTGGCCAAGTGCAGATTGGCAGACTTCACATATCTTTCGAAGACTTCCTAGGTTTTTTTAGGCATGTAGGTTTCCTATCAATGTTTTCTTTACCGTAAGGCAAGTGGTAATCACGTTGAAAATGATTCGCACATGAAAATATCAAAGGTGCGAAACCCGGGGTTTGAACCCGTTTTACTTAGTTTCCCGAGGAAACGCTTTACCACTGGACTACCACTGCCTGACCTGCTGTTTATCCAAGCCTTTTAAAATTTTCATCAGTAATATTGGATAATAAATAAAAATATTTTATTGGAATAAATAAAGATATTTAAAAAAAATAACCAGATTTCTTAGAAAGTTTCATTTAAATACTTTGTCTTATAGCGAAGATATATCGAATTGTTACGCAAAATGAAGTTGGAATAAACGTCATTCACGAGATACCGTCAGAGGGTGAACAAGACGTGGGCGGTTCGTTAGCTTTGGATGAAATACGAGTTGATTTATTAATTATCTAGTTTAAACTAATGAACGAAGTTCTTATGAAACTTATTACTAATTTAAAGTTTATAATTTAATTGACGTCTGCTAATTATATACCGAAAATAAAACGAAGTAATGCAATTTTGAAAAATTATTTTTCAACATTTTAAAGCTCACGTTTTAAATATATAACTAAGTAAATAATATTTATATTTTTTTGAGAATTTTGTATGTTCAGGATAGCATAAAACTGTAATTAGAAAATTCCTAGAAAAACTATCACCGTCTCTTCTTAGTATAACAGCATTCCCAGCCATCCGTAGCTTCCTTATTAAAATATTATATAAAGATGTTTAAGTACTGTATAAAAATTTGCTAGAAACCAATTTACAGCTTATTTATTATAATTGCTGTATAAAACATAGATAACCATATGACATTTATATTATCAGTAGATGAAGAATAACATGACGATATAAATAAATGAATTTATTATGATTTTTACATCTTAAAGTTTTATTTATATTATATACTAGCATTGCCCGCGGCTCCGTCCGCGTTCAGACGACCAAAAAGCAAATTCTTAGGTTTTACATATTAGTATACTCTTACAATGCAGTTTTTGTATATTTTCTCAGAAATGAGATATCTTCCCGCGGTATATATACCAAATTTCATCAAAATCCCTCCAGTGGTTTTTCTGTGATGTGGTAACAGACAGACAGACACAGACAGAGAGACAAAAATTACAAAAATCTATAGATTCGGCCTTTGTATCGATAATAATGTCTATTTCAATAAGGTTTTCCAAAAAATATTTAATGTACAGATTCGGCTGAGTTACAATTTTATTATATGTATAGATTATACATATATATTAGCTTATTACAGCAAATACGTTTCCCGTAAACATTTTACCTGAGTTAATACCACAACGTCGTTAAAATGTCAAATATTCGCGAAAATCTAAGAAAACATATCCCATATTTTATGATTAGTAATAATAATGAAACACAAACGAAATGGTAGTGGGATCAAAAGTTAAATTAAACGTATAATAATAACTCGGTAATCTGTAAAGTAATATAACTTGCGTGATCGCAGGTGACGCGTGTCCTTTGTAAATAAACCCATTGTGTGGTCGCCCTTCGTTTGAATATTAGGGTTGTACATTTCAATTTATAGGATTTAATTTTTCATCATAAAAGTAAACTTCAATTCCATTATTTGCTTAAGGCTTTCAGGCATCGAAAAACAGATTGGCAGATTGAGCACAATTTCAATTTACCAATATCACGTAGTGTAGAAATGAAATTATGGTGTAAAATTAACACATGTATACTCGTACTTATTATAATTTGAAAAACATGAGTTTACATATTATGTATGATTTATTAATTGTTTTGCAGATGTAACGGGTTTGATTCTTGAGTAGACTGATTGTTTATGTATTTGCCTTCTTTTAATGTCCCATTGCTGGCCACGGGCCCTCCTTCAATACGAGGGTGGTCAACCCATGTAGTCCAGAACGCTGGCTAATTGCGGGTTGATGGACATTACATGTCTTTCGAAACCTTGCTGGGATCTCTCAGACAAGCAGGTTTTCTCACGATGTTTTCTTTCACCGTAAGACAAGTGGTAGCCGACTGATTTTTAAAGTAACTTAAAAGATTAAGATACTTGTTCGTAATATAGTGACTAATAGAATACTTTTTCAGTCTTTGTCTACATGACTGCTGATTAGAAGGCTAGCACATAATACATAGGGTAAACATAAGTTAGTTAATCATGTAATTTCAATTGGTTTCTAACAGATTAATACTGTATTAGTTTATATAAATAATACAGCTTCCAAAATTTAAGCTTCAGGTGCTAATTTTAGGAAGATTTCTTAACAAGTCTCAGGATTAATTAGACTTAATATAACAAAATTAAATTCTTTACTAAAATAGAAGGATAGTAAACGTGACTTATTATTAATTAATTATGAAAATAATAAAGTTATTTAACAACAATGGACCTTTGTGCCATAAGATTAAAATCACACTACTACTTATAAATGCGAAATTTTGTATGTGTGCCTGTGTGCGTGCATGCATACATGTTTATGTGTACGTGTGCGCGTGTGTGTGTGTGCGCGTGCGTGCGTGCGTTCGGGCGTGCGTGCGTGTGTGCGTGCGTGCGCGTGCTCGTGCGCGTGCTCGTGCGCGTGTGCGTGCGTGTGTGTATGTGTGTGTGTGTGTGTGTGTGTGTATGTGTGTGTGTGTGTGTGTGTGTGTGTGTGTGTGTGTGTGTGTGTATTTTTGACCAATTTGGTTATTTTTGTAGTAAAAAAATTTACTTAAAATAGGTGCTACCTGTATATGATATTATGAAAATATGGCATATAATGGCATCTAGAAATGCACAGGGTATTCTGCAGATGGTACTCTTCGCTCGGGTCGCTAGTCGCTGATATTTGATATAAATAATATGAGGCAACCCTTAGTGCGTAAGAAGTAGGTATACTCGTAGAGCGATATTCGCACTAAAACTTAAACAAAGTTTTGTCATTTTCTACTGCGAACCCTTTAATAATGTCTGCATTGTATTTTGTGTTTCTGGTTTAAAATTTACTAGAATAAATTATAATTAAATTATTGTGGGCCAACTTCAAAAAAGAGATAATATTCTATTCGGATGTATGTATATAAGTAGTTTTGTCTGTGTTACACCATATCTTCGCACAAATAAGAACCGATTAAAATCTTATTTTTTTAATAAATAGACATTATATCTTAAATTTTGCTTCTAAAAGTAGTATAATAACTTTTAAAGTTATTTTGAGGTCGATGTCGATTTAATTTAATTGAATAAATAAATGATCTGATGATGATGATGATGAATGATAAAGGAAATGAATAACTGTTCAATCAATTTATCTCACATCATTCGCTTTTATGTTTTTTTTATGACAATTCCTTACAAGTTTACTTTGGTCAAGCGAGTGGGTTTTTTAGTACCAAAAAAGTGTTGTATTATTTAAAATTATATTTATAATTTGTTCGCATAATATTTATACTTACATATAGTTACGAGGATATTAAAAATATTGTTTTGTTTTTTGTTCACAGTTGAGGTCGTCTGAAGCGTTTTCATCGATGAATGGGACGCATCCTAAGCTAGTCGTAAGTTTTAATATTAGTGATGTAATATATTTTTTAGTCCATAGCCTCCTGAATATGACATCCTTTTGTATTAGAGCGCTTAGAACTAAAGTATCAAGATGGATCTACGAACTATAATTTATATAAAAAAGTGTTCCGTCACGGGACGCTTTATAACATCAGCAATTAATTTTCAGTAAAAGTCCCGTCAAGATCCAGCTGTTTTGGAGATTAGCCGAACAAGCATACAAACAGACATACAAACGTTTTTTTCTTATAGGTAGTAAATATATACTTTTATACGCATTTATTACAAAACTGTTATTATGACATTCAAACAGACACTCCAATTTTATTTAATTGTACGTATAGAAAAAGGATCACACGAAGACGTAACGCAACAAGAGGATTAGTATTGCTATCAATACTATGGATATATTTTTAAACACACTTTTACTATGATTTTATAAGTGTTATCATGATCGTAAACTTTGAAAAAGAATAGAAAAAATAACTGAAACCCTTATTTTTACATTCTTTATATACTTATACAGCTAAATATATATCAATTAAAATTGCTGTTAGTATCAACTAAGTAAATGCGATTCTCTTGTTCTTTTAACCTCGTCTAAGGTTTCTAACACATCATATTATATTTTATTATTAAAACGATGGTAAAAATATTGAGACCTTTTAAATTATGTAATACTAGTGACTCACCCTCGCTTCGCTCTAGTTCGTCCCTAGGTACGTTATAACAGTTAGTATGAAATAGATAGACTATACATATTATTTTATATTACTGCTCCGCTTCCTTGCCTTGTACTCGTAGCATGAGTCTAACATAATAATAGCCTTCCTTAATAAACATGTTATCTAACGCAAAAATAATATTTCGAATCGGATTAGTAGTTCCTGCGATTAGTATTCAAACAAAGAAACAAACAAACAAACTTACATTACGTTAAAAGTTATACACATATTTGCATAATTGAACTAAAAAAAACATTTAAAACTTCTACAAACGTATGAGAACAGTAAAAGTATTATCGTATGAGAGCAGTTCAATAAACTTTCTTTTCTAATGCGTTTAATATCGCCTTCAATAAATTAATTGTGTTTGGTCTAGAAGACGTACTGCAAACAGTGAATTATAAACTTGCACCTTAAAGGGTTCAAAGCTCTCAAAATAGAGTAAATATTTATCGACAATAAGCTACGAGGCTTGTGTTATGGATACCAAATAGTTGATACACTACACATATATAACTGAAAATACATACATATTATAAATATAAACACCCATGACTGGAGTACAAATATTCGTGCTCATCACACAAATTAATGTCCCCAGAGGGACTTAAACCCGCGACCGCTAGCACAGCAAGTAGGGTCACTACAAACTGAGCCAAACTGTCGTCGAGTAGTAACAATGTAGCAACGTAGAGTCAAGATAATCTTTGTAAATAATAATTAAGTCGAGGCAAACAAATTTATTAAACAAAAGCTTTGAGACAAAAGTACGCTAGCATTAAACTTTTTAATATAATATTAATGAAAACGAATTAGTTCTTTGACCGATTTCAAATAAAGAGAAAATACTTCATTTGAGTGTATGTTTGGACGTATTTTACGCGAACCCTTCCCCTATTAAAAACTAATTTCTATTGAGTTTCATAATACTTTCTTAGATTTACACGAATATTTGACATTTTAAATAAAACTATCTTTTCGGTTTTTTTAATTTGTATTTTGACAGTAGTCTCTCCCGTAACAATGACTGCTGTGAAGCATCCGAAACGTACGGAACCAAAAAACAAGGTTTATATACAGATTTTTTAAATGAATAGGTTATATTTTATAGTTTCTTAAAGAAAAGTACTTATGGATACATTAATTATTTTATATTACAGCATATTAAATTTGCTGCACGATGTACATAAGTGAGAAGTAGTGAGTTTGATTTTTGATTCTAGTTTTTAAAACAAACATCATTTTCGAATGAATATTGACTCTTGACAACTTAGATCACAAACTCTGTTTGTACTTTCTTCAACAACACTTACAAATTATTTGGATTTTTTTTTAATGGGAAGCTAGAAGGTTGTCTTAGACCGTTGAGCACAACGTTAAAGTTAAATGTAGCAGATAATAAGTGGACTTAACTTTTGTTGGATTTTTGCATCTATAATTATACCTAGTTATGCAAAAAGGATCCAGCCCACGAAAACCGTTTTTTCAGTTACTGTCATAAATGGCACCTACATATCAATTTTAGTATATGAAAAAATGTCCGCCCTGAAGTGCCTTTTTTCTTTTGAAACATACAGACGCTACCCATACCAACAAAATATTAAGCATTTTCTTAGAGTTAAAATAGAACCATGTATCACGGTAACCTAGATCACGCGTAATAAAAAAAACTACGGTCTTGTTATTTTGATACACCAATTTAAAAAAAAACTCCTATGGTTTCAAAAGTAAGTTTTGTGTTGGATCTATTTAGCATAACTACGTCCAGTTCTAAATATATATACCTATATCATAAACGAAACTATCTTTTCGTATTTTTCTGAACATTTTTTCACATTTATATTTTCTGAACATTTTCTGAACATCGTTTTGAATGCTTTACAGCAAATAAGGTTATGGAAAAAAACAATAAAACGGAAAACATAATTTTATTTAAAATTTAAAATATTCGCGTAAAACTAAGAAAATATTAATAGTACATATATCGTTTTTACAGCTAACAGAATCAGAAGCGTCGTGGGTTGCGTCACTTTTGTGTTTAGGAGCGTTGTGGGGGGCGGTGCCGACTGGTCTCATATCAGAACACTTTGGACGAAAGAAGACTTTACTTTATCTTGCTCTACCACTTGTGGTATCTTGGGTTTTAGTTGCGTCCAGGTACGTATTACATTAAGATGTCCTCCTCATTTTATAAATTACTAGTATGTTTTAACGTTTAATATAGATTTCTAAGAGATGAGATATTTTCCCGCAGTAAAAAGTATCCTATATGTTGACCCGGATAACCAGCTATCATCGTACCAAATTTCATCAAAATCTGTCCGGTGGGTTTCTTGTGATGCGTTAATAAAAACAAAGACAGATAGACAAAAATTCTAAAAACTATAGATTCGGCCTCTGTATCCGTAATAATGATTATTTCAATGACGTTTTCCAAAAAATATTTAATATGAAGATTCGACTCATATATAGATGATGACGATGACTACTTACATACTCATTTAGTCTTTCATGTGCTCTTATATGAGTATATGGCTTGATAGATTATTGAATACTCTATCCTATATAAAACAATAAAGTGAGTCCTGAGTGATTTTTTTAATAAAATTACTAGTTATACAGATAAAAATTAGACTATGTTGTTGCTCATTAACTATATTTACGTAATAAACCAAAATCCGAATATTTATAAATGCGTAAAGGAAAACAATTTAATATATTTTTATTTAATTGCTTTTCATCTATCTTAAAGAAGAATAATTTGTTTGTTATGCATTTCTCAACCATTCAAGTTTAGAGATGGAGTCAAGTGAAGCGAGAGTAAGTCGTTAGTTCTTAAAGAAATTAATAATTTTTGCAGTCCAAGCGTCTACGGTCTGTACGTGGGTCGTTTTGTTGGTGGCATTGCCGTCGGAGCCTTCAGTGTAGGGATCCCTCCTTATGTAGAAGATATTGCTGAAAAACATCTGCTGCCTTCCCTCGTCACTTTCTACCACGTTCATTTTGCTTGTGGAGTGCTGTTTGCGTATATTATTGGTAAGTTTGAAGCTTTTTGCAGCTTTTGAGCTAAAAGCATTTTTTTTAATATCAGTAAAATTTTATAATAAAGGAGGTTGGATTTCAGAAAGTATTATTCTTTGTTTATAATTTTGTTTAAATTAGAATATAAATATTTCAACATATATTTCTATACCATTGAAAATTCTTTTTTTCTCCTGATGTGAGTGCATAGTATATATTTTATAGATCCCGTAATCCGTATTATCTACACTCTGACCAATTAAATTGAATAATAATAAATATTTTAATTAAAATGCACTCAAATTATATAATAATAATATTAGAGAACTTTCGATGTACACGTACTAATAGAAAATAAAATAAGTTTAACTCGATCAAATGTGGACATATTCGTAGAAGTAGGCAAGTTATAAATAAAATAACACATTTTTGCTATTTTCTATATCAAAAGTCGGCGTCTGATTTTCGACAGGCTTTTGGCCAAGACGGAACTGTTCGTGCGAATATACGAGTTGATGTGAGCCTTTTAGTATTCGTGGACCTGCCCTGTAGCGCTCTCGTAGTAATTTATATTTATTTTATGGCCAGTTCTACCCTCATAACAATTTTTCGCACGTTCCTTTATATCATGCTTGTGCTGAATTACATGCGATACAGAATTTGACACGAAAAGTAGTGTGTGTAATTTACAAAATGCATGCTTTTACTTAATGAATATTAACACTACAATTTATTTTACGATATTAATTTGTCAAAGTTTATTTAATATAAGTCGTTGGAAGTCATAACTTGGAATTCTGGATACACATTTACGGTTTTCTGTTATATTTCAAGTTTTTAAAGATTTTACAAGAATGCTACATATATTTCAAACAAAAAATATTAGGAAGCGACTATTAATTTAAATTACTTTTTAACATTTCCAGGTATGGTACATAGCACATCATGGTTGTCTGTACTCTGCGCAAGTATACCGGTGGCGTTTTTCATCGCCTTCATATTTCTACCAGAATCGCCGGCGTATTTAATGTCACAAGGAAAACAAAGTCAGGCTAAAGCAGCGCTACGATACTACCGAGGCATTGATAATGACATCGACTCAGAAATGAAAGCCTTAAAGGAATATATAAGGAGTTCCGTGAAGCATAGAGTCACTTTCAAAGAGCTGTTCAGCGAAACTGTAAATGTAAAAGCGTTGGTTGTCTCCTTCGGTTTGATGATATTTCAACAGTTGAGTGGCATATATCCTGTACTTTTTTATGCTGAAAGCATTTTTACCAGCTTTTCAACTTCTCTCAATCCTCCTGGTCCAGCCATCATACTTGGTTTTTGTCTTGTATCATCAACATATTTCTCAACCATGATTTTAAAGAAAGTGAGGCGACGTGTCTTATTGATGTCTTCATTTGCAGCAATGGCTATAAGCTTAGGAGGTTTAGCGATATATTACCAATGGAAAGCATCTAATTTTTCGTCTAACAATGCCTGGGTACCATTATTTGCTTTGTGCATTTTTGTATCTGTATATGCCGCTGGTGTAGGACCTATACCATGGTTGATGCTTAGAGAAATATTTGCGCCACATGTTAGAAGACGTGCAACAGCTATTACTGCTGGTTTTCATTGGTTTTTAGCATTCGGGGTAACAAAGTTGTACCAAAATTTGGTGGTCCTGGTCAAACCAGGCTGGGCATTATGGCATTTCGCTGTTACTTGTGTTATTGGTATAATTTTTGTCTACTTCTTCGTGCCTGAAACAAAAAGCAGGACTTTAGAAGACATACAAAACGAATTTGATGGAATTCATAAGAGAAAAAAGCACACACACGTTATCGAAGTGGAAACATTATCAGTTCCATAATAACAGAATATATATAGTTTTCTTAGTTTTCGAAATATAGTATCAGTATTTACGTTGAGAGTTTTGATATCTAAATTATTCAGATATTGCGGAATTTCTAAATTTTTAATTTTAGTATATTTTTATAAGTTTTTTTTTCATTTATTTATAATATAACGTAGTAGCGGAGAGTTTAGCTTATATTTATTTATAATAATAATTATCAAATTAATTTAATCTCAGGTGTCTTTATTATTTTAAACTCGTTCTAAGTTCTGACAAGTCTCTTAAGGTTGCTTTAAGTTTCGAACAATAATTGAGGTACAGTACTTAGTCTACTAATAATAGCTCCGTGGCATTTATATATGTTTGAAAATTAAACATAAATGTAATGTTAAAATGTCGATGGTAATGTAAATAAAATTTCTAATAACTTTTAATTTTTCATTTCATAACCATTTTTAGGATAAGTGACGTTTTATTGTGACCTTTAAAAAAATTGGGGATTTCAAGAACGTGCCACCAACCGGGTACAACTACCTAAAAATCATCGTGGTCCAATAAATATACAAAAGTTTCATCGAAATCAGTCAAGCCGTTTAGGAAGAAAGAATTATGAACACATACACACTAGATTTTTTATATAGATATAAATATTATCGTAAACACCATCATAAGCTTTAAGTCAGAGTACATAAAACTAAAACCAATATTAACTTTACACATAAACGTGAGTAACATAACAGTGACATTTGGCAAAAAATATGATTCCATAAGAAAGCCCACAATCTTTTTAGGGAAATAGTCGTTAGAAAGGTGAAAATCGCGTTTCGAGTCCCCTACTATAGTGTATTAAATTTATTTTTTCAATTTCGTTCCTATAGATAGTTTTGACGCTGAATTATTCTTTTGTTGTTATAAAAAAATACGTTTATAGATTTTATAACTGAAATAAAAGTTCAACTAACTGAAAATCTATATACAAAAATATCACGTAACAAACACACAAACAGTCTAAGGCGACTATTTTCTCTTGTTTTAAAGTTGGTCAAAACCATAAAAAAAGTTATATTTTAATGAAATTGGAATCGTTGGTACATAAACGTACTATTTATATATAAATAGGCAAAGAGAAAACAATTCAGTATTTTTTCCTCCTCTGTTTGTCAACCGATTTTCTTTTTTTTTGTTTAGTAGCTATTGACGTGCTATAAATTTTATTGGAAACTTTTTGTTTTGTTTTTGTTGATTTATTTTGTTATTTGGTTCCCGACTTTTCGAATGCTTTACAGCATGGTCACGGGAGAGACTAAGGTTTTAGACGTCTCAAATGTCATTATATACTTGTTACAGACGGTGTATTTGTGTTACAGACTTCTACTTTGATGACATAGTAATTTTTTAATTTTTTAAAATCATTTTGTAAAATTTTGTAACAAGTACATAATTATAAATCCACGAAAAAAAACGAAAAGATACTTCTATTAAAATGTTAAATATTAGCGTAAATCTTAAGAAAGTATTATTTTGGAAATAGTTTTTTTTATAGATTTCGAAAACTGGGCGAATACTAGTATATATAAACTATATAAACTTCAAGCAAATTCTATCCAGCCTTAGCTTAATCGCTTTTCTACAACAATAGCTTAATTTTCTATCAGCGATATAGAATAACGTTTTGTCTAAACCCCGTATTATATATACGATAGCAACTAAAGTATTACAATACGAGAGTGATTAAAGTAAATTCAGCGTACGTGTAGTTTTGCAGTAGAAACATTGGCCTCGAGTAATCAGGGCGATAACATTCAGGCTGGTATTTGTGACGTGAGACGAATTTCAGTAAACTAATTTTGAATTCTACGGACGTTTTGCTTCGTTACCTGATCGGTTACTTTGGGTGTATAAAGGAAATAAAATGTTTTGGGGTATATATTGAAATAAGGAATAATTGTCGCAAACACAATACTGTTATAAATGCAAAAATTTGTATGTTTGTATGTCACCCCTTCATGCTAAAAAGGGTGGACGGATGAAAAATACTAAAATAGAATGAACTGGAATAGTACGTAGGCTACTTTTAGTTATAAAATTTGCCGACGAGTGGCGTGTCTGTGTACCTATGTCCGTTTTTTACGTTTTCACGTATTTAAAACCACTGAACCAACTTTAATGAATTTTGATAGGTTACTTATTATCACAAAAATGGAGCTTGAAGTGTGCGAAATAGGGTTTGAAATTTTGTATTGGGAACGAATCATTTCTCAAACTAAGGATATAACAATTATTTATGTATAATATATATATAAGAATCAAATTCAACATGATTAAAATCTGAGTATTCATAACTTCAATATCATTGATGACCAATTGATTTTAAAGTAATTAAAGGAATATTAAGTTCATCTAAAAGATAAAGTAAACGTTAAGAAGGAAGAGCAATAAAAAATGTTCTTCTAAAAGAAATCGATTAATACGAGTATATATAAAAAGACAGTTTGAGACCCTGGGAAGGACATAGGATCCTTTTTATTTCGGTATTCATCCCTTAAGGAGGTGAAAATGGGGATGAATCAACCTCGGGACGAATCCGAGCGAGGGTGAGTCGCTAGTATCCTATATTTTGGTAAAAAATAAAGAATGTTTCGGCGTTTTTGATCGATAAAGTTAAAATAGAGGATGATTTCAAAGTTTTTTTTATGTAGTTATCTACTTTTCTATACCTATGTATTCATTTACATATATGTTACAGTCTAATCTATACTAATCGCACGTACCTAGCACTCGGTCGGACGCACTCGAGCGAGGCGAGGGTGAGTTGCTAGTATTATCAATAAAAAAACACATAGAGAGGCATCAGAGCGAAATGAGGGTAAGTCTTTAGTACTAATATGTATATGGATGGGAATATTTGTTGGTTTTTATCTACTTTATCTTTTATCAAGTTTTAGATATGTCCATGAAGTTATGAAATGAGTAAATTCGAGGTGAATTTCAAGTCAATAATAATTTTATTTATTTAATATATAGGAACTTCTTTCCTATTAGGAAGCCAACATAGTATATATTGCTTTTGTTCTTTCATACATAATTCCGTATAGAATATTTTTTACACTATACACCACACTTATAGGCTAACTCAACATGCATAAACAGCTGTTTCGAAAATTATAATACGTATCTATCCTATGAAAAATAAAATACTTAATAAATGTGTAAAAAGTAATGTAAAGAATAATAATTAACAAAATTGTAAATATGTAAAAGTCAAAAATTTAAATGGTATAAAAAGTTATTGCCTAAAAACAACACAAAACTGTAAAAAATACAACTAAAATGATAAAATATTTAAAACAGAGTAAAACACATTGAACTTTGTATAATATACTGATTCCGTGTTTTTTTACCAGTTAACTGAAGCCGTTAGACTTAAAAGCATAAATTTCGATATCCCTTGGGTAGGAATGCGTTAATAAGGGATTTTGAGATTAGGCTTGGAAAATAAAGAGGGACGTAGTCTAAAACTTTTTTGTAGAAATTGTTTTAACTTAAAAGATTTTATAAGTGAATTTCGCTTACGTTCAACTACTGAATGTATTAATTGAATATTTTATATTATTTTCATATAACATTTACTTTGAAAGTCCTAAAAATTTTCTATGTATGTATATAAAACAAAGTCGGGCTAGGTATACCATTTATAACTCAAGAACGGTTTGACCGATTTTTATGATCTTTGATTTGTTGGATTTGTGTTTGCCCCGAATAGCAGAATAGCTATTAAAACATCAGAACATTTTAAGAAAACAAAATTATACGGCTAACGGTTACTGTACCGTAACGGTAAACGTACCCAGGGACAAACCCGAGCAAAGCGAGGGTAAGTCGCTAGTATTAAATTAATAAATATGTTGGAACCACACAGCGCCATCTAGTTCCATGGTAAGCTAAGAGGTCTGTATTATGGATACCACATAGTTGATACACTGCACATAAATATTTTTAAATACATAGGTACATATTATAAATATAAAGACCCATGGTCGGAGTACAAGCTCATCATACAAATGAATGCCCTCATCGGGACTCGAACCTGAGACCGCTGGCATAGCAAGTACAAACTAAGCCAAAAGTGTCGTCAAATAATACATAGTGTGTCCCTTTTCGTGGTGGTGGCGGCTTTATTAGTGTCCGGCAAGCCAGTCGAACGTGAAGCTCAAAAATCACATTCATCTCCCTAGTAATATACGAATAAAATAAGAGTATGATTAAACAAACAAAATAATATATGAATTTAAACGTAATTAATGCTAAACAAAGGAGTACCGTAGTTTATTTTATTGTACAGTGTTAAGAAGGAAGGCATGCCCAAACAACTACGACTCGACCATGTTTTTTGCTGTATGACCTAAAGTACACATATTAGCTTCAAAACTGCCGAGGAAGTTTATAAGAGAGCCAACCAGTTTGAAATTATTTTTATAGCCCGCATGTCTCTCAACGCCGCGAGCCACCCCTTTGTAAAAAATGATACATGTTCGTATTTATTCATTCGAAATTTTAACCGTATATATAGTATTTTTAGATATGATCTTTTTCTTTGGTAAATGAAAGCAATAATTATAACTGTAACAACAAAAAGTGATACCTATAGATAAGAGAAATTGAAAAAGAAATGTATGGCAGTAATAGCTTAGTGGCAACGAGATCGCTTGGAAAACCAAGCAAAGCGGGTTCATACTCCCGGTCTCGGAAATCTGATATTTTCATATGCGAATAATTTTGAACTTATTGAAGGAAAACATAGTGAAGAGAACGTATTTCTGGGAGACTCTAAGTTCTATTTTTCGAAAAACATAAGAAGTCTCGCAATCTACACTTGGCAAGGTTTACATTATTCAATTAAAGGAGGCCCGTGGGACGGTTAAGAGGTTGAATGAGATAAGTGATAAACTAAATGCAATTATTTATTCAAATAAATTTATAATGAATCAAAGAATATCCGGCAGTGCTAATCT